TTAGTTTAACCTCCCCAGAGAGTAAGCCTCCTGTATTCTGATAGGGTAGGGAGGGTGGTTATACAGTTTTGTGGGTAGGGGAATGGGAGAGTAGAGGCAACTACTTCTACTTTTAATGTAAATCTTGTTTATAGCCTCTCTTGTACTCCTCCTTTATATCAAGATTAATTCCAGATGAAACAAAGATTTACATGTTTTTTTAAAAAAATGAAACCTTAAAGAAACAAAGTTAGGCATTAAAAAAAATAATCTCATAGTGGAAAAGGCATAAACATGCCACAAAACCTAAAAGCCATAAACAAAGAGTGATAATATAAGTAAAAAAGATTTCTGCATAGTATAAAGCAGAACAAAAACCATCGTTAAAAGACAAATAACAAACTTATAAGTACCCAGTACCACTGAAAGTCTACCTAAAACTGAGTGCCCCCTCACTGAACTTCCAGGTATTGGGACCACTCTGGTCTAATAGCACTGTCATCTCCTGCCTGTACTAACTTCTTTTTTTTTTTTTGCGGTACGCGGGCCTCTCACTGTTATGGCCTCTCCCGTTGTGGAGCACAGGCTCCAGACGCGCAGGCTCAGCGGCCATGGCTCACGGGCCCAGCCGCTCCGCAGCATGTGAGATCTTCCCAGACTGGGGCATGAACCGGTGTCCCCTGCATCGGCAGGCGGACTCTCAACCACTGTGCCACCAGGGAAGCCCTGTAGTAACTTCTTGAACGTTTTTTCTACATCTACTTTGGCTTCCTTTAGTCTGTTCACCATTCCATCAGAACGACTAAGGGTTCTGTTCAAAACACTCATCTGATCCTGTCACTACCCCCTTGCTTTAAAGTCCTTTAGTAGTTTCCTGTTGTTCTTGTGATAGAAACAAAACTAATAAAGCCTACACGGCCCTGCACTGTCTGGCCCCCATCTGCCTTTCTTCATTTCCTACCACACTCTTCCTTTGGGCCTTGCACAAGAGGCTCACTGATTTTATTTTGGCTTGAGGATTGGCCCTGTTTTTCCAGCAGAGGCCTTTGCACATGCTGTTTTCTTTTCCTGGAATGTTCTTCCTTCCCTCCATGTTTAGTTAACTCCTGATCATCCTTTACATCTCAGTGAAGCATCACTTTATCTGACTTTTCTGATCAGGTCTGATTCTACTGTTGTAAGCAGATAGTTTAGTGTACTTTTCCTTTCCCTATCACAGCTGCATTTGTACCTTTATCTTTGTGATTATTTGAGTAATGATTGTTTTTACCCAGAGACTGTAAGATTTTATAAGAGTAGGTACAATGTCTGTTTTTCTTCATCATTTGTAGTGTATAACATAATGCTTATAATAGAGTTTGGCACATAGTTGCAGCTCAGTGGATGGCTGGATAAACAAATAACTAAATGAATTAATATGTACCCCTTAAGGCTTTACAGACCTAGTCTTTTGGAAATCCTGTTTACTGTTAATAGGAGGAAGCTTGAAGCCCTCTGTAGGAGTGGTTTCCATTTTTATTTACTGTTCTTTTTCTCTGTAGGTTGCTGATCAACTCTGTGCCAAGTATAGCAAGGAATATGGCAAGTTATGTAGGACCAACCAGATTGGAACTGTGAATGACCGGGTAATGAACATAATTGTTAAACATGAAGCAATGGGTGGGGTGGGGGCAGGTTATTTTTATTGCCTGCAGTGAGTCCAGTGGGTACCACTGTAATGTAGGGTTAATCTGGGATTGCACCTTTCATAGTAAGAGAGAGAAGACTGCTGTCTGGCAGTGCAGTCAGCTCCTTACCCCTGTCCTACACCTCTGATTGTGAAGCTTTCCATCATCCTGTGTCATTCCTGATTTTGTACCTTATCCTTTGTGCCACTTGTGATTTATGGAGGTAGAAGTGAGGTGGGGAGAAGGGTAGATGATCTCAAATGTGGAAGGCAGCAATATCAGTCTTTGAGGCATATGTAACCAGAGAATGTGAGAGATACACGGGTCTTGTGCTTTGTGATTGAAAAAAATAATTTAACTGGATGGAGCTTCTTTTTTTCCTCTCAATTTGAAATGTGAGGAACAAAGTTTAAAATTGATACAGGTTAGGCTTAAGCTGGTTGATGCAGGTGCATCTTAACCCTGGATCTTTTACTTACAGCTAATGCACAAACTGAGTGTGGAGGCCCCACCCAAAATCCTGGTGGAGAGATACCTGATTGAAATTGCCAAGAACTACAATGTGCCCTATGAGCCTGACTCTGTGGTCATGGTACGTTTAGAGTCTTTTAGAATACAAAGGAAAATGAGTCTCTCGATATCACTGTCTTTGAAAAATAACCATTTTCTTTGCACTCAAGTTTGCATATGGGAGTTTAAGCCTTTGTCCAGTTAATGCCTCTGGGGTAACAATAAATACGCCTGCATCTCTCAGAGTATTTAGGGATCAGATGAGATGAATGACTGAAAACACTTTGAAAAGGTACAAACTTTGATACAAATATAAAGTGGCATTATTGCTACTTTTCAGTGAAGTTCAAGGAATTGAGAGGCCCCTATGGGTAGCAAGAAAAGCCTCAAGACCCAGAACAGATCCTGAAAACATCTTTCGTGTGCCTGCCATGTGCTCCAGAAAGCTGAGAATACAGAAAATATATAAACAAGGTCCCTGTCCTAAAGAGGCTTACAGTGAAAGAAGGGCAGATATGCAAATAGTAAATCAGCAGTTCATGTTGACTGGGTATAGTATATGTTTTGGTGTGCTGCTCAGACAACCCTCCCCCTGCCTGAAGTACACATTTCAGGACAGAAACATTTATTCCGCCAGCTCTTTTTTTATTTTAAGTAAATTTATTTTTGGCTGCATTGGGTCTTCGTTGCGGTATGTGGGCTTCTCATTGTAGTGGCTTTTCTTGTTGCAGAGCATGGGCTCTAGGTGCACGGGCTTCAGTAGTTGTGGCGCGCGGGCTTAGTTGCTCCGCGGCATGTGGGATCTTCCTGGACCAGGGCTTGAACCCGTGTCCCCTGCGCTGGCAGGCAGATTCTTAACCGCTGCGCCACCAGGGAAGCCCCTCTCCCAGCTCTTGAGAGTATTGATGACTGGTGGCTCACGCAGCTGAGTGTCCCTCCAGGAATGGCCCTCAGAAGACAGCTTCCTTACCCAGGGTCTTTCCTGGGGGCAGCCTGTATTTGGTAACTGGTCATTGCAGGGGATTAAAGACTCTGCCCCTTTGTCCCCAGTTGGGAGCACCTGCTGTAGTCCCAGCCTAGCTCCAGAACTCCCTGGGGGAATTAGCTGACCCCTTTGTTGTGAATGCATGGCAGCCCACCTTCTTCCTTTGCCCAGCCCTGCTTCCTTCATGTCTCCACAGGTGTCTGTCCCAAGAGACCTCTCCAGTAAACTTCTGTCAACGCTAATCACCATCTCAGAGTCAGCTTCCTGGGGAACCTAGCTGGTGACAGGCCTAATGATACGGGTTTCTCTCTTTTTCTTAGGCAGAAGCTCCTCCTGGAGTAGATACAGATCTTATTGATGTTGGATTCACAGATGATGTGAAGAAAGGGGGCCCTGGAAGAGGAGGTGGGGGTGGATTCACAGCACCAGCTGGTGGACTTGATGGAACAGTGCCAATGCCCATGCCCATGCCTATGCCATCTCCAAACACTCCTTTCTCATACCCTCTTCCAAAGGGACCAGTAAGTACACATACAAATAAATATGGATATAAACTCTAGAAAATGTTACAGAAGATGACAAGTTGGCTCTGTGAATACACTCAGGAATTGTAGGTTATCAAGAGGATTTAGCAGTAAGAATATTTGGTATTAGTTTATTGATCATACTGTGGAAAAAATAGCACTGGGATTTGGAGAAAGTCTTTTGGTTCATCTGTAGGTAATGAAGTGGGAAAATCTAGAGAGATGGTACTAGAAAAACTCCTTTTCATGTAGGTTTCTTGAACCTTTGGGACTTGTAGGTATACTAGTAGCATTTTCCAAAAATGAATAACCAATACTTATTACCAGGTCTACCTCCTTTGTAGATAAGAAGATGAAAGTCATTGGTAGTAAGAAAGTCTGGGGACTTCCCTGGCAGTCCAGTGGTTAAGACTCCATGCTTCCACTGCATGGGGCGTGAGTTCGATCCCTGGTCAGGGGACTAAGATCCCACGTGTTGTGCAGTGCGGTCGTCTCCTCTCCCCCAAAAAAGAAAGTCTGGTAAGAAGCTTCCCTTGTAGACATGGAGGCAATTTAGTAATTTGAAGAATAGCCTTTGGGTACAGATCTTTAAAAATCTGGATTCTTCCTAATCACATGTGGTCCTTTTAGGCACTTTTTCTTTTATGGCTCTTGAATACATGTATTAAATATATATCTTGATTATATATATATGTATTCAATGTGAATATATACACATTGAGAAAATAGTTGTATACACACACATATTTATTTCTCCTTTCCTATTTACACACTTCAGAAATTGCAGATCGGGGCAATGTCTCTGATGTTGCCTTTCTCCTCTTGCAGTCGGATTTCAATGGATTGCCAATGGGAACTTATCAGACCTTTCCCAATATTCATCCACCTCAGATACCAGCAACTCCCCCATCATATGAATCTGTAAGTGCCTGAGCCTCTTTTATAAGCAGCAGGAGAGTGAATCCATGAAGAGAGAGCAAAATAATGGCCACAGGGAAGGCAAAGTTTTGATCAACTAGTACTGGCATTGCTCTATGCTTTGGATTCTTGTGTTGCTTTAATATTACCCTGGAAATGGGGAGTGGTGGTGGTGGCAGCATCGTTGGTGGCAATGCTTTGTCTGCAGTTAAGCCAGGAATCAGGAAGGAGCTGCAGATCCTGGAAAGTTGGGGTAGGGCACTTGATCAGACTTTTTTTTAGACTAGGCAGAGAATCATATTGAGCTGGTACAGTCTTGGTACTAGAAGATAATAATTGAAATACCAGTTTTATAAATTCTCAACACTGTGTAAAGGAATAAGAACCAGATTTTTGTCTTAAACAGATAAGTGTCTAGTAAACTTCAGCCTATAGCATTAATTTTATATTTTAGTCTTATAGTTAGAGCTTGCTGTTATTGCTAATATGGTAATGATGCCTTGAACTGTAGGTGGTTGTAACGGTTTTGGTTGAGAATTAGATGACTTTTCTGCCAGCCTTGTTTGCTCATCTAGGGAGATCGCCCTGTTCCTGAGCTTGCTTAGTGTTCTTTCCTTTGGTTTTTACATTGGGCCTGAATTTTTATGTTTTGGTTTTGCACGCATTGAAGCATTGCCCACAGCTGTTTCTAGGAACGAGGTAGAAGATCTTTGTTATTATTTGAGGACTTGGTTCTTGGAGATGAATGCGGTGGTTTAGAATGCTTTCTCTCTGCCTGGAAGGTGAAGGTAACAGATTAAAGAGAGATGTTATGGTGTGGTAAGAATTTTCTTTTCCTCTGCTTGGCAGTTATGAGTTCAACATGGTATCTGTCTGGTTGGAAGAAGATCAGGAAAGGAGTATAGGGGGCGGAGGGGCAGTTTCTTTGGAGCAGTTTCTGTTGCTTTTGCTGAGCAGCTTAGCTTTTGCAACACACATGGGCTTATACCATTACTTTCACCAGTGATGCCATTGCTTTCTCCTTTGGTCATGATCTTTGTGTTTCAGGTTGATGACATTAATGCTGATAAGAATGTCTCTTCTGCACAGATCATTGGTGAGTCAGAAACCCTCTTGAGAGTTTCTCAGTACTGAACCCTTTGCTGTTTTCTCATCTCTGTTCCTCCCTCAGATTGTTTTTATGCTCGTGGCATTCTACCTACATGCCACGTTCTCTCCCCAAATGCAGTATGGTGGAAATAGAACTCAGGATTTCCCACTTCCAAAAAGAAAAGATCTTTCGTGGCTCCAAAGAATCTCCCAAGTTTCTGTTTCTGGTAGTGGTATCATTATTCTTTTTCACCTTGCAGTTTTCAGTCATCCTCAAGTTCGGTATGTTCTTGCTGCTTCCATTTCCACTGTGCCTGGAAATACCAAAATTGTTTTTAAATTTGGGCATTAAAGAGGGGGAAACAGACATAACTCATAAGTGTATAGCTCAGTGACTTTTCACAAAGCAAGCATGCTCATGTAGCCATTCACTGAAAAATTAAAACACTACCAGCACTTCAGAAACCCAGAGGGGAATATTTTTTTAAATTGGGACAGTTTCATTGAGGTATAATTTACATACAAAAAATACACAGAAGTGTATATTGTGATGAGTTTTGATGTGTCTCCACACACATGCATTATGTAACCACCACCTCAGTAAAGATACAAAACATTTCTATCACCCCAGAAAGTTACCTTGTGTTCCTTTCTAGTCAGTTCCATCCCAGAGGCAAGCACTGTTCTTATTTCCTAAAACTATGGTTTAGGTTCCCTGTTCTAGAACTTAGATACAAATGGAAACATACAGTAGGTAGAGAGGGCGATGATTTTAACTTGTAAGATACAAAACGGAAGACTAGAAATACAGATCACATTCTGTTACATCAAACGGTATGGATGTTAACATTCCATATAAAATTTTTTTCCCATAAGCCTTAAAGAGTAGCTCATCCCAATAGAATTCTAGTACCATTTCTTGGACTTTCTTATGGGAGTAGACCTTTGTGAAAGGGGACAGTCCGTTGAAATGAATGCTGTGTACCTAAGCCCCATGCACCACACTTTGACTTTCCCTTAAACTTTTTTCTCACTGTAGGAAAGTAAAACATATTCAACCATAATTAGAAAACGTAGCTGTTAATTGTCTGAAAATTTTTATTGACCTTTAGAATTATTTTTTAAAAAACAATGTTTTCTCCAGTATTTTGATTATTTTATTGTTTCTGCCAGGGGGGATTGTGGGGTTTGAGGATCTGAGCCACTGGCATTTTTAACACTGTGCTCCTTACTGTAATTTAATTAGGTCCTGGACCCAAGCCAGAAGCTTCTGCAAAGCCCCCTTCCAGACCCGTGGATACCTATGACAACTTTGTACTGCCAGAATTGCCATCTGTGCCAGACACACTACCAACTGCATCTGCTGGTGCCAACACCTCAGCCTCTGAAGACATTGACTTTGATGATCTTTCCCGGAGATTTGAAGAGCTGAAAAAGAAAACATAGGCTTCCTAAACCAGGCAAGGTCCAAGTTCTGGGAAATGAGACTGAGCAATTTCTCCTCGTAACAAAGAATCTCCATGAAATTCTGCTTCATCTGTTAACCATCACTGAGTACACTCTTCCTCTGGGCTCTCTTCCTGCTCTGACACACTCTGCTGCTTTCCGGTTCTCCATTGCTCCTGAGAGACTAACAACTGGAGATTGTGAGGTTGGAGCAGCTGGCTCCTGGCAGCCTTGCTTGTCCATTTCCTGTCAGTGTGATCCCATTTCTCTCCTTCCTGTCCCACCATCTCTCCACAGGGGAGTGAGAAGGGGAGAGCTGTCAAAGATGGCCGGATGGTGGAGGAGAGTACTTCATGAAGTGTCTCAGCTCTGTGCTGAGGTTCTAGACTTAGAAACAAAGCCCTCCGTACAGAGGGATTGGTGGTGAGTGAGATTCAAGGCCAAGTTGTCTATTTTCTCGCTATAATTTGAATGGGAGAGAGAAAATGGCTCAGGAAGCCATTGTAACAGTTCTTAGAAGCTGGGTCTTCTCATTGACATACACACTACTCCTTGCTGCAGGGCACTGTTCCACCTGGATCCAGTTGCAAACTTTGGAAAGTTGAAGGCCTCTCTTAGTTCTACTGGATTCTCAGGGAGCCCTCTGTGGCCTTTTGCTTTATTTTGAGTGCTGTGTTTCCCTTTTAATAGAGGGCAGCACTGTATATAAATTCCTGTTTTTCCCCATGGCATGTTCTGTTGGATTGCATTGCTGGCCACATACTGGGCAAAAGTCACCATTCAAGGCTAAGGTGGGCTTCCAGTAGCCTTAATAGAAATATTCAAGTCTCTTGAGTAGTGAGCTGGAAAGCCTACAGGTGAAGAGGGGTTCCTGTTTTCATTTGAAAACGTTATGATCAAGAGAACCTTTAAAAACTGATCTCAGATAAATTTTTGGTGCCCATGTGGCTGTAGGTGTTTTGCTCCTTCCCTTGACGGATGAGACTCTTACTGTTTTGCCCCCTAGCTAAGGCCATCCTTCCCCACAAGGATGGATTTGGGACTGGAAGATACGACTTCGGCTTCTGTGTGGTGTATCTGTACACACTTGTTTCAAGCAACTTTAATGTTTTTGATTGATTTGTATGTCATGGCTCAGTAGCTGCTAATAAAATTAAAAATTCTGTGCCCCGCTTTCTCCATTGTTTTGGTCAAATGACGAGGGTCAGGATTTTAGTGGAGAGTATTTAAGCAAGTGACCCATACTGGGCACAAGCCAGACTTTATTGGCTCCCTGGGTAGGATGCCTGGGGAGTAAGGGGCCCATTTCGATCTCAGTATTTAAGCCCAGATTGTTACCTGTGAGTTGGCTTGGTTACTTCTCTGTACAGGGCTCCCCCTTAGCCAGATCTCATGCTTGTATCTTTAATTAAAGTTGCAGTGAGCTTACTTCTGACTCATGTTTCCCATAGTCATCCTGGAACATGAATGATGTTACTTGGTGTTTGTTTGGCAGCAGAGCTGGTTTATCCTGCACCACTCTTGCAGTGTTAACCCTCTGATAGTGCCAAGTTCCATAAACATAAGAATCTGCAGCTAAGGGGATTTTGATTCTTCACTAACAAAATTAACTAAGTATATTATAAACATCTATAATCTTCTAAAGTACACCATGCAAATAGCAGTATTAATATACTAATAAGTAATAAGCCAAGCGAAGAGGTAACAGGATTAATCTTTTGAAACTTCATTTGTCAGTGGCCATTGCTGTTACAGCTGTTTGCTTACTTACATGTGTTCTGGTGTTGCTGTATTCCTAACAAACTTGAGAGCTTCAGTAGCAGCATATCCATCAGTGCAGCTTCTTTCTGAGTCTGTTGGAAGACAGAAAGAGAAAAGCAAGGAAATCGAAATTGCTGCTAATGGTGGAGGAAAAAAGTACCAAAGATACATTTTTTAAAAAGTAGATATAAAGTGTAAAGATACTGTTTCCTTTAATGGTTTACTGTCAGGCCTTGGAGTGTTTCTGCTACTTAACAGTGGAGGGTCAGCTATTTATAGGACAGTGGATGTAGAACATAATGTACTTTTGGTAAATTGGATTTCCTAGGAAAATGGTTGGCAGAGCTGTGGAGACTAATAAAGGGAGTATGCTGATACTGTGCGTTATGTCAGTCTGTAATCTTAAGAGCAGCTAAAATTGAGCTTTTCCAGTGATAAAATCATGATACGGTTTATATTTCAATTACTGAGTCAGAGTTACTTACCTTAAAGGACTTTCTTTCTTTACCAAAGGTCATTAAAATGGCAGAAACAAAAAGGTTAATGATCACAAATACCATCAAAATGACACTGGTTAGGAGAATAAGAAAGGAGCCCAGGACTGGGTTTAAAGCAATAACCTGAAAAGACAATAGGACATTTCGAGTTTAAACACTGAGAGTTTAATATCTACTTTAAAAATGTAAGATATATGCTAACATTTGGGATATATTCACGTAAGGAAACACTTATGTCTGGTGGAAACTAGAAAAGCAAAAATATTAAAAAGGAAAATACTTTTGAGTGGACAGAAAAGCAAGAGTGACTGACTGTAAGAGTGTAAATAATTGTGCCTTCAGGGCTTTCACAAGAAGAAAACAGGTGAGTTGTAATGGAATTATAAGTGACTCAAAGCCCTTGTGAGTTGTTGGCAATTCTGGAAAATATTTCTAAACATGGAAGCTTCAAGGAATAGCAAAAGTGTGTTGGAAAAAATACATAGATACCAGCAGTGATAATGAAAACTGTCTCTGCCATTCCAAGCACTTTCTACTCTGAACATAGGAGCATTTCAATACAGTTTAAAAGGTTAGCCATAGAAAACTGGCTTTTACTGCTTTTTCTAGATTTTTTTTAATCGTTATCTTTAAAAGTATAATTACTGAGTTTTGCCATTCTTGCCTTTTCAGTACAAAGAGATCTTTCTCTTACTAGAATGGTTTCCAGTAAAATTTGGTTTCCAAATTCTTTAATTTAGGTGTTCCTTTTAAAAATGATTATTTTCCTTTGGTATTGGCTCATTCATTATTGCCACTGGGCACTGTTTAAAAAAAAAAAACACCCAACAACTTAGAGGATGAATACTTGCAATAAATACTATTGTGATGGAAATCTCTGTGACAGAGATATTATAATGGCTGCCAGCTTATATCTACCTATTTTAAAAGAGCTTAATCATAACTCCAGGTAAACCAAACAGTTTGGGCAAACGCTGAGTTTGTGATGCAAGACTATTCCCAGTAAGTATACTCCATTTTCCCTTTTAAGTCAAAAAGTAGGTGTCAGCAAAAGTTTATTATGATTGTTACTTCTTTAAGAGCTTTAGTATATAAAGTGTTCCAGGGGTGAGGACTTCATTCCCTAGTGATTGGGGCTGGAACCACAACAAAACAGTCCACCCAAAATAGCAATTATGTTAATCTTTCTTAGATTTTAGGAAGGTGGTGGTAACTTTCCACGTTAGAAACTATGTTAATTTACCCATTTTAATTAGTAACCTTTGATTTCTAGAGTATCAGAATGATGAGCTTTGATGAAAATCTTGCCAGTTTCACTAATTTGAATTGCAGTTTTTTTCTTATCAAATCTATATGTGCTAGTGTTTGGAACCCAAAACCTCACCTGGGTTTCCTACTTTATTTTTTATGTTGAGTAGAAAGGGATTTGTGTAGGTAGTTCCTGGGAGAAAATAACAGCCTCTCTGAAATTAGTATTTATAAACAGAAATAACTGCAGTTCTTTCTGGACTTGTACCTCCCTAATTTTTCTTTTTTAAGTCACTTCCAATTGTACCCTTCAAAGGGCCCTTGAGAAAGCAGTAGCAATCATGTTAATCTGGCCAGGTGTGAGAACACAAGTTCAGGCCCAGTGTCTTTGGCAGTAAGATTAAGGATAGAAGAAGTGAGAAAGGTGGGACTATGTGCTTAGGAAAGGAAGGATTTCTGAAGGTAACAGCCACTCAAAAGCTATACAGTATCTATAGGTAATACCATAAAATAATGGCAAAGGAACTAAGTTTCTCCCTTTTCCAGTATGCAGTGGTACAGTAGGGGCTGCTTTTATAAGCAATTCTCCCCTTGTTTGATATATTAAACCAAATAGAATTCTGCAGGGAAACCAGGAATAGGGTTTTTACCTCCTTGTGATGAGAGATTCCCATCAGGAGACCAACAACAGTCACTGCTGAACTGAGACAAGTTCGGTAGTCAGAGATGCTCCATCCAAACAGCAGGTTAAACTGAAAAAGAACTGTCAGATGGGGGTGGAGAGCAGTAGAGGGGACTGCACTTCTTTGGGTCCTGAGGTGCTTGATAATGGTGAGGTCAAGGTAGAAACAATGGAATAGAAATTAAGGAAGTTCCTTAGTGGCCATTCAAATTGCTATGCCTAAAAACTACATAGAATTCTTCTGTAATTACAGTGTTTTCATATAAATTTGACTTCCATATAGTTCATCCTGTGAACTAAATGTTATCCCCATTTTAGAGATGAAACAAATGTCTTGAGTTTATCATACTGCTAGTTAACTATGGGCCTGCACAACTAAAACCAGCTCCACTGTCTTCTCCAAAACTCATTGCCAACTTGAACTGATGGTTTTCCATTTAGTGACCTTTTCTAAGGGAAGCAATGTGATTCCAAGACTACAGAACTTAGGAAAAGACAGACGCTAGATGCAGCAAAAGCAGTTCTAAGAGGGAAGTTTATAGCAATAAATGCTTACATTAATAAAAATCTCAAATAAAAAACCTAGCTTTGCTGCACAAGGAACTAGTAACTGAGCCTAAAGTTACAAGAAGAAATGAAGTAATAAAGATTAGAGCAGAAATAGCGACTAGAAAGACAACAGAAAAAAAAGTTAGCTTTTTTGAACAACAAAAGTGACAAGCCTTTAGCTAGACTAACCAAGAAAAGAAAAAGGATTGTAATAAATAAAATTACATAAACGAAAGAGGAGACATTATAACTGATACCACAAAAATACAAAGGATCATAAGAGACTACTAGGAATAATTACACACCAACAAACTGGATAACCTAGAAAAAATGGATAAATTGCTACAAACATACAACTGAATAATGAATAAACAGAAAACCTGAACATATGAAGTATAAGTAAGGAGACTGAAGCAGTAATCAAAAACCTCTCAACAAAGAAAAGCCCAGGACCAGATAGCTTCATGGGTGAATTCTATCAAACATTTAAACTTTTAAATTCTCGGACTTCCCTGGTGGTCCAGTGGTTAGGACTCTGTATTTTCCACTGCAGGGGGTTGTGGGTTCGATCCCTGGTCAGGAAACTAAGATCCCATGTAAGTCAATAAATGTGATACACCATATTAAAAGAATGAAGGATTAAAAACATCTCCATTGTACATATATACAATGGAATATTACTCAGCCATAAAACAAAACGAAATTGAGTTATTTGTAGTGAGGTAGATGGACCTAGAGTCTGTCATACAGAGTGAAGTAAGTCAGAAAGAAAAATACCGTATACTAACACATATATATGGAATCTAAGAAAAAAAAATGGTCATGAAGAACCTAGGGGTAAGATGGGAATAAAGACACAGACCTACTAGAGAATGGACTTGATATGGGGAGGGGGAAGGGTAAGCTGTGACAAAGTGAGAGAGTGGCATGGACATACATACACTACCAAACATAAAATAGCTAGCTAGTGGGAAGCAGCCGCATAGCACAGGGAGATCAGCTTGGTGCTTCGTGACCACCTAGAGGGGTGGGAGGGAGGGAGATGCAAGAGGGAAGAGATATGGGAACATATGTATATGTATAACTGATTCACTTTGTTATAAAGCAGAAACTAACACACCATTTTAAAGCAATTATACTCCAATAAAGATGTTAAAAAAAAAAAGACATGATCTCAACAGATGCAGAAAGAGCATTCAACAAAATTTAACAACCTTTAATGATAAAAACTCTCAACAAATTAGGCAAGAAGGAATGTACTTCAACATAATAAAGGCCATATATGTCAAGCTCACAGCTAACATCATACTCAATTGTGAAAAGCTCTTCCTCTAAGATAAGGAACAAGACAAGGATGCCAACTCTCACCACATCTATTCAACACAGTACTGGAAGTCCTAGCCAGAGATGTTAGGTAAGAAAAATAAATAAAAGGCATCCAAATAAGAAAGGAGGAAGTAAAACTGTCTTTGCAGATGACGTGGTCTTATATATAGAAACCCTAAAGACTCCACCAAAAAACCTGTTAAAAAAAAATGAATTCAGTAACGCTACAGAATAAAAAATCAAAATACAAAAATCAGTTGCATTTTGTTACACTAACAACTAGCTGAAAAAGGAATTAAAGTCTCATTTACAATAACATCAAAAAGAATAATACACTTGGGAATAAATTTAACCGAGGTGAAAAATCTGTTCAATGAAAACTATAAGAGATTGATGAAAGATATGAAAAAGACAAAAGTAAATGGGAAGATTTCCCACATTCATGGATTGGAAGAGTTAATATTGTTTAAATGTCCATACTACACAAAGTGATCTACAGATTCAATGCAATCTCTATCAAAATTCCAGTGGCATTTTCCCCAGAAATAGAGAAAATCCTAAAATTTGTATGGAACCACAAAAATACCATGAATAGCCAAAATAATCTTGAGAAAGATGAACAAAGCTGGAAGCATCACACTTCCTGATTTCAAACTATATTGCAAAACTATAGTAATCAAAATACTATGATATTGGGATAAAAACAGATACATAGAACAATGGAACTGAATAGAAAACCCAGAATTAAACCCACACCCATAGATTCGGCCAACTAATCTATGACAAGGGTGCCAAGAATACACAATGGGGCTAGTCTCTTCAACAAATAATGCTAGGAAAACTGGATTTCCACATGCAAAAGAATGCAGTTGGACACTTTTATTTTGCCATATTCAAAAAATCAAATGGATTAACAACTTAAACCTTAGACCTGAAACTGCAAAATTCCTATGAGAAAATAGAAGCAGCTTCTTGACCCTGGTCTTGGCAGTTTTTTGGATATGACGCTAAATGCACAGGCAACAAAAGCTATAACAAGTGGGACTACCTCAAACTAAAAAGTTTCTGTGCAGCAAAGGAAACAATAAACAAAAGGCAGCCTATGAAGTGGGAGAAAATATTTGCAAACTATATATCTGATAAGGGGTTAAAATCCAAAATCCCTAAAGAACTCATACAACTCAATACCAAAAAAAAATCATCCTGATTAAAAAATGGGCAAAGGACCTGAATACACATTTTTCTAAAGAAATACAAATGACCAACAGGTATATGTAAAAATCACTAATCATCAAGGAAATAACAAACCGAAACTGCAATGTGATATCACCTCATGACTGTTAGGATGGCTATTATCAAGAAGACAAGAAATAACAAATGTTGGTGAGGGTTTGGAGAAAGGAGCCCTGTTGGTGGGAATGTAAGTTGGTACAGCCATTATGGAAAACAGCATGGAGGTTCCTCAAAAAATTAAAAATAGAGCTACTAGATGATCCAGTAATCCTACTACTGGCTATATATTGAAAGGAAATGAAATCATCTTGAAGAGATATCTGCACTCCCATGTTCATAGCAGGATTATTCACGAAAGTGAAGATATGAAATAAGCCAAACAAAGAAACATGTATGATCTCTTATAAGTGCAATTTTTAAAAGTCGAACTTACAGAACCAGAGGGTAGAATGGTGGTTACCAGGGGCTGGGGTGGGGAGGAGGATGGGTGGATGTCAGTCAGAGTATACAAACTTTTAGTTTTAAAATCAATAAGTCCTGGAGATCTAATGTATAGCATGATTATAGTTTATAGATTATAGTTAATATATTGTATACTTGAAATTTGCTTAGAGAATAAGTTCTTATCACACTAAAAACAAAACATGTAACCGTGTGAGGTGATGGATATGTTAATTAGTTTGATTGTGGTAAACATTTCACAATTTATTCATATATCAAAACATCACATTGTACCTTAAATATATACAATTTTAATTTCTCCATTGTACCTCAATAAAGCTGGGGAGAAAAGAGAACCTAAAAACTATTACTTAACAAAAAAATTAAGCAAGCTGGCTGGGTACTAAATATAATAAAATCAATAGCCTTCATATATTCAAACAATATTTACTTAGAAACTATAGTGAAATAAAATCTCATTCACAATAGACCACAAAAGATAAGCCTAACAAGAGATGTGCAAGAATTATATGAAGAGAATTTAATATTACTGAGGGATACAAATGCAGATGAGAATAGAAAAAGCATACCACACTCCCAGATAGAACATCATAAGCTACCAATTCCCTAAATTAATTTTTATAAATCCTTATTTTGTTTCTGTATAAATATCTAAATCTCTACAACTGAACGAGCTCTTAATACATAAAAAGCTCCCATTTATCAAAACAAGCAAACAAAACCAAGCAGCCCAATGAAAAATGGGCAAAAATTATAGAATGACATTGATTCATTCTTTCTCTCAATCAGTATGTATTGAGTGCTTACATACACCAGGTCCTGTTCTAGGTGCTGGGAACACAGCAGTGGACAAGAGTCCCTGTCCACAGAGCATTCACATTTGAAGAGGGAGGGAGACAGGCAATAACCAAACAATATTCAGGTAATAATTGTGCTATGAAGAAAACTGAGCCGCGGAGCAACTAAGCCCGCGTGCTACAACTACTGAAGCCTGCGCGCCTAGAGCCCGTGCTCCGGCAACAAGAGAAGCCACCGCAGTGAGAAGCCCGCGCACCACAACGAAGAAGAGTTGCCCCCACTCACCGCAACTAGGGAAAGCCCACGCACAGCAACGAAGACCCAACGCAGCCAAAAATGAATGAATAAATAAAAAATTAATTAAAAAAAGAATAAACTGAGTAGGAAGAGGGGATAGAGAGTGTTCTGTGAGGAGGGAGCAGTGCTGTTTATTTACAGGATGATTAGAGGTTTCTAAGAGGAGGTGGCTTATGAGAAAGACCCTAATAAAGTTTGGAGCTCCCAATGCAAACGTCAGGGCAACAGCAAGTTCCAAGGCAAGAGCATGTGCATCGTGTTTAAGGAGAGCACAGAAGCTTGTATGGCTGAATTAGAGTGAATGAGGGTCAGAATGAGGGTAGGAGAAGTAACAGATGTAGCTACAGCTCTGGACAGGGAAGGCCCTAGAGTAAACTTTAGAAAGGGTTTGGGCTTTTAAGTATGATGGAATCCATTGGGAGGTTTTGAACAGGGACAAAACACATTTATGTTGTAAAAAAATAATATGGGGAAGATGGAATGAAGAAGGGCAAGAGCAGAGGCAAGTTTTGTCCATATGAGAGGTGAAAAACGGTTCCTTAGTTTAAACTTGCATTTTCTCACGAGTGCAGTCGCAAACCTTTTGTATATTTCAGAGTTACCTGTATTGTATGAAAACACCAATGTTCACTGAACTGTTGGCGATGTGGGCAGATCTAATACATTGCTCATGGGAACATTAATTGGTACAATTGAGGAGAACAATTTGGCAATATCTTTCTAAATGAAAAATGGATATACATTTTTAGCAAGTCTTTTCAAGGTACTTATCTTACAGATATATTTGCACATGAGTGAAATTACATATGTAAAAGGGTATAAATGGTAGTATTATTGTTAACAGTATAAGAGTGGAAACAATCTAAATGTCTATTAATAGGGAACTGGTCATAAAACTTATGGTACATCCACGCAATGGCATACTATATAGTAAATGAATAAAACATAAAAAGGGACAGCTTTATATATGCTGATGGAACAATCTCCAGGCAAATTGAGGGGAAAAGGCAAAAAGGCATGACAATGTGTATAGTATGCTGCTATTTATCATCTAATGTATTTACAAATGTATAGATTACCTCTGAAAGAATTTACAAGTATACCTTGGAGATACTATGGGTTTGGTTCTAGACCACTGCAATAAAGCAAGTCACATGAATTTTTTGGTTTCCCAGTGCATATAAAAGTTACGTTTAGGGAATTCCTTGGCTATCCAGTGGTTCGGTAGGACTTGGCGCTTTCACTGCTGGGGCCCGGGTTCAATCCCTGGTTGGGGAACTAAGATCGTACAGGCCGTGCGGTGTGGCCAAAAAAAAAAAAAAAAAAGTTATGTTTACATTGTATTATAGTCTATTAAGTGTACAATACCATTATGTCTAAACAATGTACATACACCTAAATTAAAAATACTTTATTGCTAAAAAATGCTAATCATCACCTGAGCCTTCTTTTAGCAATAGTAACATCCAAGATCACTGATCACAAGTCACCCTAACAAATACAATAATGAAAAAGTTTGAAATATTTCGAGAGTTACCAAAATGTGACACAGAGACACGAAGTGAGTAAATGCTGTTGGAGAAGTGGCGCCAATGAATTTGCTTGACACAGGGCTGCCACATCTTCAGTTTGTTAAAGAAAACATGCAGTATCTGCGAAGTGCAGTAAGGTGAAATGCAGTAAAGTGAGGTATGTCTGTATAATCAATTGGGAATGTAGTTGCCTCTAGGAAAGAGAGAAGGGGGATCAGGGGATAAAGGAGAGTTGCACAATATACATCATGGTACATATGGATTTTCTACATATTCATGTTTTAATTATGAAAAATGTTTTAACATGAAAGAAAAAGATTATGTTACAAAATTTGGCAGGGAGAGGTTTGCAGTAGGTTATTAAAGGACCTAGGGTCCTGCAGAAGATAAAAGAGAAAGGTAAAGGGTGACTTAACCTTCAAAGATGGCCTTACTTTATATTTCTTAAATAAAAACTGTGCAATTCTAGAATTGTGATTAGTGTTTTTTCACCTCAGAAGAAAGTCAAAAGAGATAAAGTTTAAATTGCTGCAAGAGGAATTTTAATTAAATCCTACAAAAAAAATTCTTCCCTAAATGTGTTTCAACATTGGACTAGGCTATTTAGGAAAGTTCTGTTTTTATAGGATACAGATTTATTTACAGGATACAGATTATCTGCCATGAATGGCTTGGGCTTCAATATTCCTGAAAACAAGTGGACTAATGGGACTGGGCTACATCAATTCTGAAAGCGAAAATTTTTTAGCAGTTGAAGAGTTAAAAAATGTTAGTTACAATTTTTACTGCTGTTTACCCCATATCTACCTAATTCTATTTCATTATCTACATCTACAGATTGCTGCTGCTCTTCCTTAGTATGTCCAGGTAACTCATGTAAACTCTGTGGTTCTAGTACAACCAGAGCTCCAACTGCCCCAGTTAATAACAATAGCTAACACCCATCGACCGAACAGTATGTGCCCGACACTGTTCTAAGCACTTAGATCTACTAAGGTTTTAATCTTCACATCTATCTTACAGTGTAGGTCCTAAGATTATACCCATTGTACAGATGGGGAAACTGAGGCACAGGAGGTTGAGTAATTTACCCAAGAACACACTGCTGGTAAGTGGAGAGCAAGGATGTGAACCTGGGCAGTCTGGGCAGCCTTCTGAGTCTGCGCCTTTGGACCACAACACTATACTGTAAAGCAAAGGAGTCTAAGAGGAGAACATGTCTATTGTGATGGCACTAGCCTTAGCCACCCACGGTCTGATTCACTTTTTATTTAAGTCAGTATAGACAGTTACTGACTGCAAACAGAATATGCCCTCAACCTAGAACTGTCACCATTTAAAACTCAACTAGAAAGAATCAACACGCAAGGTACAGAAGTTGCCATCTGTTAAAACTCTTAAATGCAACAAGTACACGTTTAAGAAAAGATTATACAGATGTAGAAAACAAACTTATGCTTACCAAGGGGGAAAGTGGGGGAAGGATAAATTGGAAGATTGGGATTGTATATACACACTATTATATATAAAATAGATAACTAATAAGAACCTGCTATATAGCACGGGGAACTCAGTACTCTGTAATGACCTATATGGGAATAGATTCTAAAAAAGAGTGGATATATGTATAACTGATTCACTTTGCTGTACAGCAGAAACACAACATTGTAAATCAACTATACTCCAATAAAAATTAATTTTAAAAAAACGACTATACATGTTTGCTGAGATGAACATATCATTCAGATTTTTTTCAGGAACCTAGGAGATGTTCCAGATCCCAACAGAAAGCCACCAATCCTGAGATTAATGAATGTAACAATTTCTAGAATACAGCTTAATAAGATATAAAGTTATAATATGGCAAGGTGTTGGTAACTGGTGAAAGATACTGAACAAGAAGCATTCATACTGGGACTTCCCTGGTGGGTGAGTGGTTAAGAATCCATCTTCCAATGCAAGGGACGTGGGTTCGATCCCTGGTCAGAGAACGAAAATCCCACATGCCGTGGGGCAACTAAGCCCGAGCGTGGCAACTACTGAGCCCGCGCGCCACAACTAGAGAGAAGCCTGCGCTTCGCAATGAAGAGCCCATGCACTGCAATGAAAAGATCCTGCGTGCTGCAACTAAGACCCGATGCAGCCAAATGAAAAAAATAAAAAATTATCTAAAAAAAACCAAGCATTCATACTAACTCCTCTTTTTTTTTCTTTGTTTTTTGACTGCGTTTGGGTCTTCGTTGCTGCGCGTGGGCTTTCTTTAGCTGTGGTGAGCGGAGGCTACTCTTGGTAGCGGTGCACGGGCTTCTCATTGCAGTGGCTTCTCTTGTTGTGAAGCACAGGCTCTAGGCGCACAGGCTTCAGTAGTTGTGGCACGTGGGCTCAGTAGTTGTGGCTCGCAGGCTCTAGAGCACAAGCTCAGTAGTTGTGGCGCATGGGCTTAGTTAACTCCGCGGCATGTGGGATCTTCCCGGACCAGGGCTTGAACCTGTGTCCCCCTGCATTGGCAGCTGGATTCTCAACCACTGTGCCACCAGGGAAGTCCCCATACTAACTCCTCTTGATGGTGAGGTTCTTTGAGGGTACAAACCATGTAATGTCCATCATTTTATTAGCTCCTAGGACAGTTCCCAGCATACTAGGTGTTCACTACATATTCGTGGAACTGAACTGGATAACCAAGAAAAGTTACACAGACACATCACAGACTTGGGAATGACTGCACATCAGGCAATATATCAAAATATCATCTGGTGTGGAGATCTTTCTGGTTACACTGTTTTCGTGGTTTTGTGCTTATAGAACAAACTTCTCAGCTACATGTGGTTCCCTCCTTCACAAGGAGGCAACCAGTCCCAGGGATCACTCCAATTACTTTTCATGTTGTTAGTGAATAAAGTCTCAATTTTGTTTATCAGCCTCTTGTGAAACTCATCAGTGGGAATCAGCCTTCATGGGCCTGATCACCCTTGGGTGAACAGACATACACCTGAACCTGCTTAGATGGGGCCCTGGGAGTGGACCTTTGGGTGCCCACAGAGGTGCAGTCATTTTGAAAAAGCCAGCAGACCTTTCTCCAGTGTTCTAATGGGTTACTGCAGGGGTGTTTGGAAAACAAACTGCACCCCACATTTGCAGGGCTGGGCCCCAGGACTGTGTTCTTACCTCTGTAATCCCTGTACAGGTTAGGAAGGACGGTGCTCCTGGCCCAGGGGTAGAAATGCTTAAGAAGTTTGATCTCTGAGAAGCGGTAAGGAAAGCTCTTGTGGATAGCTTGACGGAGGTAAAATCTGTTGGAGTTGTGTGCTGAGTAGACTGCAGTCATCAACAGGATAAGGAAGAGTATTTGTACTAGTTTTAGAAGAGAAAATCACAGGTGAGTAGTTAGCTTAGAAATCCTCTATGTTTTTCTTCATTTTTTCCTAAGCTGACCGACTTTTATAGGTCAAAAACAGTCAAAAGTTGGCAATTTGATATGGTTCAACCTAATAATTGCAAACAGAAAAGCAAAAGCATTTGGCTCTTAGCAATATCTATCTATATATCTATAGATATCTACATATATCCTTCCCAGAATTATTCTGCCACTGATCAGAAATTTTACTTAAAAATAAGATACATAAAATCTCACACAAGTGTTGTATTTTAGTTCTTAGGTCTAAATGTCCCCCCAGACCACTCCTTTCATCTCCTCCCCTTCCCCTCCCCAGTTATCTATAGATTGTCTGTGTTCACAAGAAGGGAAGGCATGATAAAAACAGAATTTGTCTTCTTTGGTCCAGAGAATCCAATAACCCAAACACTAGACATGTTGAACCAGTTACCTTGCACTTATAGGACAGCAGTTTTTTTTTTTTGGCCATGCTGCGTGACATGTGGGATCTTAGTTCCCCCATCAGGGATCGAACCCGTGCCCCCTGCCGTGGAAGCGCGGAGTCCTAACCACTGGACCACCAGGGAATTCCCAGGACATCTATTTTTCAAAGCATATTCATTTTCCCTCCACCATGCGATGTAGATCAAGTTTCATTATTACATTCTGCAGGTAGAGAAAGTGACTTACTGAAACACACAATTAGATCTCAAGATTCCAAGTTCAGGAGTCCTTCCATTCACCTTACAGCCTTGCTTAAGGGAATCCAGAATTTTTCGAGGTGAATATTTTAAAATAGTTTTCCACCCTTCTTCTTTATTTTCCATTTAATTCTCATTCCCCCTTTCCTTGATGGGAAATGTGCTGCTGTATCAACAGGTTACCATTTTTTCTCCATACCCAAAATATCTCCTGTCAACTTGAAGAATTTCTTCTCTTTCAAGGTTCTTTCTGGGTGCTTAACTGGACCATTCATAGCTGGGGCTACGCAGATGGGGTTGTTTTCATCTCTCGAACCGGGTAATGATGAAGGACATCTTGCTGTCAAAAATTCAAATATAGGCCAAAAAAGGGTATATTTCATTAAGTAGTTATTCATCAACATTTGTTGAGCATCTTCTATGAGTATCTCCTGTTAAATGTTGAAATAGAGAATAAAGCTATCTAAGCAGCCCTTCCCAAACTATCATGAAAGACTTAAAATTTCCAATCCATCAGGGACTGATACTTTTGTAAAAATACAGTAAAAACGAATTACTAGGAAAATGACATAGAACAGAGGCCTACAAAATACAAGAACCATTTTGAAAATTAGATTCAATAGGCCTAAAATTAGTCTGCCCAACTGCTCTAAAAGTTTCTAAATGCTTATTCTCAATTTCTGTACTTATCTTGGACTAGAAACAGTTTTAGTCAGCGGACCACCCGATGGGAGCACTGTTCCAGAGTGGTGGTTCTCAAAGTTTAATGTGCCAGGGGATGACCTGGAATTTTGTTAAAATGCAGTTTCTGGGGTGAGGCCTAAGATTCTGCATATCTGACAGTTCCAGGAGATGCCAGCGCTGCTGGTCTCCAGACCACACTGTAAGCAGAAGAATATAGAAACATGTAAATCAAGACGGAGAGAGAGGGGGAGTTAGACTATGACCTAAAACTTGTCAGCCTGTAAGAACCAAATGCTGAGGGATCACTGAAAGGAAAAACCTCCCTGAGGAATTCAGAGAAGGTGGCCCAGAGGCAGTGACATGTGACATCTGTTTTGAATGTTGAGTCAGAAAGAATTCTCTAGATGGACAAGGATAAGGACAAGAAAAAAGTCATTTTAGTAGAGGGAACAGCAATTCAAGAGACGGAGAGATGAAATGAGGGCTAGGAAGGCAGTTATAGTCAGATTACTAACTTTTCAATCTCATAAGGAATAAGATACCAACCCCTTAGCAGCGTGCCCACCACTCAGTTTAAGAAATAAGTGATTGCCAAGATAAAATCCGCTGTGTACCTCTGTGATGGTATCCCTTCTTTCCTTCAGAGAGCTAATCCTCTCCTAAATTTTGGAGTGTATCATCCTATGCATTTCTTCATTAAAAAATATGTCTCTAAGCAAGACATGCATTGTTTTGCATGATTAAAATGGTGTGTTAAAAAAAACAAATGGTCGGGCTTCCCTGGTGGCGCAGTGGTTGAGAGTCCGCCTGCCGATGCAGGGAACGCGGGTTCGTGCCCCGGTCCGGGAAGATCCCACGTGCCGCGGAGCGGCTGGGCCCGTGAGCCATGGCCGCTGAGCCTGCGCGTCCGGAGACTGTGCTCCGCAACGGGAGAGGCCACAGCAGTGGGAAGCCCGCATACCACAAAAAGAAAAAACAACAACAACAACAAAACAAATGGTCATGAAGAACCTAGAGGCAGGATGGGAATGAAGACGCAGACGTAGAGAATGGACTTGAGGACACGGGGAGGGGGAAGGGTAAGCTGAGACGAAGTGAGAGAGTAGCACTGACATATATACACTACCAAATGTAAAACAGATAGCTAGTGGGAAGCAGCCGCATAGCACAGGGAGATCAGCTCGGTGCTTTGTGACCACCTAGAGGGGTGGTATAGGGAGGGTGGGAGGGAGGGAGATGCAAGAGGGATGAGATATGGGGATATATGTATAACTGATTCACTTTGTTATAAAGCAGAAACCAACACACCATTGTAAAGCAATTATACTCCAATAAAGATGTTAAAAAATGTGTTAATTTTTCTGCAGTTTGCTTTTCAGCCATCTTTGTGTTTGTGAGTTTCATCCATGTAATATGAGTGGCTCTAGTCAGTTATTTAGAGGGTAGACTCCCTCAGGTTTGGTGACTGAATGGTGGGTGGGATTTAGGATTATTATGTTTTTAGAGAATGGTGATGCTATTAACTGAAATGAGAAAACAGTAAAGAAGTGAATTTGTGGGGCAGGCAAATAATTCTGCTTGGGGCATGTTTAATTTGAGATACCTGCAGGCATTCAGATACAGAGGGTGAGCAGTTGGAATCAGCACTTGGGGCTCAAAGGTAGAAACACTAGGAAGGAATCTAGAATACAGGGAAGAGTAGAAGCATTGAGAGATCTAAGGAGGGATGGATCACAAAGAGTGTTGGTGACGCACTGGTTAGTCTTGGGCTGGGAAGAAGGTGCAACAGCTGGTCAGAGACAAGATCCTGAATGGATAGATTCCTCTGAGCCAGTGAGGTGGCTAGGAGCCCACTGTTCTGATACAATTTGCTATTTGCAAAATTAGATATTAGTTAGAACTACTTGAATTACCCAAGACTGCCAAGATCCTGTTGATGTTCCTTCTCTTTGTGAAGCACAGCATCCTGTTCAGCAGCAGTGAGTGAAACAATGTGAGGAAGATCACCTAGACAGGAAAGTCAGAGAAGAAACTTAATGAGCAGATATTACAGGAACCAAGAAGGTGGCGCTGTTAGGTAAAGGTGGGTATGATTAATACATTTCAGTGACTTGGCCCTTTATTTTTATGGAAAACTGAGAATTAAGTAAATTCATAATTATTTTTGCATAACCATGAGGATGTGGTTGATATAATGTTAATCTTTGTATTTTTGCTTGTAGTCCTTAATCTGCTTGGCTAGGAAAGTTTAAACTATTAAATGATTTGTGATGATCTGTATAAGGTGTTCACTGACACCTGTTTTTGGAACAACTTTGATGTGCTAGACTGAAGAAGCAATATTTTTGAAAGTGCCAGTTTTGCTGAAGCAGGCATGGAATCTTAGAATTGAGTAAGACCTTAAGCCTCTGTTAGGGGAAACAAGTATCCCCCGCTCCTTAAATTTCCTGGGAGGGGAGGAAAGTGCTCCAGTCCTCAGAGAACAAAGGACAACAGTAGTATTTCCGGCCCGTTGCCACACACCCCTATTGTGATGTGGCAATTCCAGGTGTGTCTGCTCTGCAGACCTAAAGTCGCCCTCTAGTGGATTGTCTCAAGCATTACATTTGAGGGGAAATTACTAAAAAGTACACTTGGCCATGAGTTCAACCAAACTGCACTTTAGCAATACCGATAGCTAAGCTAACACATTGGTTTCCATCTCCTGTTCCTCTTTTTATACTTTCCAACTTTTAAAAACTTATATACATTTATTATAAAAATTTTCAAAAACAGAGATTTTTAAGAAACTTAAAAAATTTGTAATACATCCATTAATCATTTTTGTCTTAATATATCTGGACCAGTTTTCCACATCCTTACATTTTCTATAACATTTTAAATGGCTGCTCGGTATCCCATTACACAGATATGGCTGTCTTATATTAAGCAATATCCTATTTTTGAACATTTAAATTGTTGCCATTTTATTATTATAAACCACTCTGAATTTTCTCAGAATAGATCCTTAGAAATGAAACTTACTCAGCAAAGGGATGCAGAATTTGAAGGCTTTTACTGTATACTGCCAGATTTTCCTCAACCAGCATTAAATGCCCATTTTCCCTGGTATCACTGTGTATTATCATTTGTTTTCCTTTGCCATTTTTAAAAGCAAAATTGAATCTTACTGTTCTAAGTTATTTGACCAGTGAAGAGGAACTTTTTACAGTTTTTAGCCATTGTAATAACAAAGGTTTTTAGCTTTAAAAAATGTATTTACACACATTAAAAAAACACTCTTTTTGGTGTATAATTCTACGTGTTGACAAATACACAGAGTATCCACCACTATAATCAAGATACGTTACAGTTTCATCACCCCCAAAAATCCCCTGATGCTGCCCCTTTGTGATCAGCCCTTTTTACTACCTCCATCTCTGGGAACCACTGAAAGATTCTTCATCCATGTAGGTTTTGCTTTTTGCAGAATGTCATATAAATGGAATCATAAAGTATGCTTTTGGAACTGGCTTCTTTCACTTACAATAATACATCTGAGATTCATCCATGTCACTACATGTACCAGTAGTTTGTTCTTTTTCATTGCTGAGTAGTCTACTGTATGGATGTACCACAGCTTATCCATTCACCAGCTGATGGGCATTTGGGTTGGTTCCATCCTTGGCAATTATTATAATTATAATTATTATTATTGGCCACACCATGTGGCATGTGGGATCTTAGTTCCCTGACCAGGGATCAAACCCGTACCCCCTGCAGTGGAAGCGCAGAGTCTTAACCACTGGACTGCCAGGGAAGTCCCATCCTTGGCAATTATGAATAAAGGTGCTACAAATATTCACACAATTCTGTGTGAACATAAGTTTTTATTTCTACTTAATTATTTACTTATTTATTTTTGGCTGTGTTGGGTCTTTGTTGAGGCACGTGGGCTTCTCTCTAGTTGTGGCGTGAGGGTTTTCTCTTCTCTAGTTGTGGTGCGCAGGCTACAGGGCACATGAACTCTGTAATTTGCAGCATGCAGGCTCTCTCATTGAGGCGCACGAGCTCAGTAGTTGTGGCACATGGGCTTAGCTGCCCTGCGGCATGTGGGAATCTTAGTTCCCTGACCAAGGAC